TTTGTACTTGAACAAATCTCTTCTGGATCATTTTTGCTTTTAGACGGAAGCACAAGCCGCTTGCCTGATATGAGAAGAACTTTCCAGGTCTGCTTCTTGCCTTCCCCTTCCAGCTACATATGTTCCTTCCACTTAATGAAAATAATAATTATTATTAGATCAATGTCTATTTTGAAGGGAGAAAATGCTTAGGACTTAGTGTTCTTAACATACTATGAACAACTCTAAAGATATTTGTAAGAACTTGATCAATGGGCTGGAGAGATAATGCCATGGATACGGTGCTTGCCACGTTGTGGCCAGCCCATTTGATATCCATATAGTCCCCAAGTCCTCCTGCTAGGAGTGACCTCAGAGAGCAGAGCCCTGAGCACTGCTGGTTGTGGGAGGAAGGGGGGGGGGAGAGAAAGGAGAGAGAGAACTTGATCCTAGAGTCCACTCACTGTCTTCCATACACATAACTCTCCTTACTCATCCTAATGTCAATAATTGCAATCCCTTCCTGTTTCCACTCTAACATTGTATCTGAGCGCCTGGAGATAGTACAATGGGGAAGACACTTCGCATAAAATCTATGTGGGTTCAATCTCTGGCACTGGATGTGGTCTCCCCCAAGCCTTGCCAGGAGTGATTCCTGAACTCAGAGCCAAGAGTAAGCCCTGATGACAGCCAGGTGTGGTCCAAAAAGATAAAACAAGATTCTATTCAAACATCACTCTTTATTATATCTCCCCAGACTCCACAAGATAGAAGTGTTTCTCTTTCCTTTTATTGACCTCCCTCTACCCCAAGACAATTCATATCTGACTTTGGACTGCCTACCATGCTATTTTTTCATGATATATTATACTTTTAAAATTTACCTATCTCTATCATTTGGATTCAAATTCATATTCTGAGTGTGAGGCAAAGGTGGTTTGTCAAATGAATTGAAGATTATAGTAATTGATTTACTTTAAAATAAAATTTCCTTAATGGTTGGAAAATTTCCTTCCTTGAAAGGCTGGGGCACTTACTTCACATGCAGGTAACCTCAGTTCAAACCCTGGCACCACGTGGTCTCCTGAGAGAGGGAGAGACACTCAAATTCCAAACCAGCGTGACCCAAGGATCAGAAAGGAAAACGTTCTCTCGTGAGCTTAGATAACCAGTATCTATTTTTCATGTCTTCTGTTGGATGTTGTAAAAATTCACCTATGCAGCTCCAAGAACTGTGGTTTAAAGAATTTGAGACAGATGTCTGCCCCATAAAATTAGAGTTTTCGGTCAAAATAGTGACAGGAGGCTGTTAGTGAAAGCTGCTTGATCAAAATCAGAAGAGAGCAGATGCTACAAAGAAAATCACTCAATCTTACCTGGACAAATAACCAAAATGGTGTCTCTCTTCCTTTTTTATTGTTTAATTAATTGATATTTTTGGCTTTCGGGCCACACCTGATGGTACTCAGGGTTTACTCCTAACTCTGCTCAGAGATCACTTCTGGTGGGACTTAGGGACCATATGGAGTACCAAGGAGCCATCCCAGACTGGTCATGTGCACGGCAAGTGCCCTACCTATTGCTTATTGTTTGGAAACACAGATACTGATCTGTGAATGTTATTTCTGGGGTCAAATAAAGAGATATCTTTACCTTGTTTCCTTGGTGTAAACAAAGGAATCTTCACGTTAAGACAATATTCAATTGCCTATGGGCCACTAAGGACTATTTCAAAGTCCAGAACATTTCTTGGCATCAAACTCTTTTTTGACAGTGGAAATAAATTAGAATGGTGGCTCTGATGGATAGCCATGGGAATAGCTTGATAGCTGTTTTATCACTAATTATTGAAATCATATTAAATTGATTTTACAAGACATTCAGGTAACTGTTTTTACTCACTTAGCAAATATTAAGGTAGCTAATGAATAAAATAGGGTTTTATGATGAATCAAAGTACTACCATGAAAAATTAGCATGCTTGTATCTGTTAAAATTGATCTGAACTGCCTGAAGTACTTTCATTTCAAATTTCATTTTCAGCCTTTCCATCATGGCTTATTTTGTCATCTCACCACTATAATTAATGTTAATTTTTGTTTTTTTGTTTTTTTTTTGTTTTTTTGCAACTGATAACAATAGATTTGTTGTTTCAAGATCTAGGCCAGGGCCAGAGAAATGACTCATTAGACTGGATGCATGCTTGGCGTGCAGGAGACAGGGCCAGGTTCAATCCCCAGAATTCTGTGGTCCTTTGAGCACTGCCAGGAGTGAGCCCTAGGCACTGATCCAAGAATATGTTCAGATCACCACCAGGTGTGGCCCCCAAACAAAAACAAAACAAACTAGACTAGCATCCATTTTATGTATATTTTTTTTCATTTGGGTTTTGTTGTTGTGCCAAACCCTGCTGTGCTCCAGGTTTCCATCTTGCTCTGAGCTCAAAGGATGACTTCTGGTGGTGCTGAGAACTTCCTCTTATCTCAGTGTTCAGGGATCACTCCTGGCACTGCTTGTGGGACCATTTCTCTTGCCAGAGATCTAAGCCACACAGGTCAACCATGTTTAAGGCAACTGTTTTTTTGTATGCTTTACTGTCTCTCCAGCCCTTATTTTTTCTTAGTTTACACACACACATAGATAGATAGATCACTTGATCACTTGACTTCCCATTAATCGTCGATTTGCTCGAGCAGGCAAAAGTAATGTCTCCATGTGTCCCTGTCACGTGCTAGTGTAGCCCATTGGCGTCTGTTCGCTCTAGGAACACAAAGAGCCTCAAACCGATCGTTCATGATCTTGATGAAGAAGTCTGACCATCTGGTAGGTGGGCGGCCACGCGGTCTTTTGACATCCCGTAGATAGATAGATAGATAGATAGATAGATAGATAGATAGATGGCTTTGGTATTAACAACAGACCTGTGTCACGTGTTTGTCATTGCTGCCTGCTGGTTGGAGCAGGTTTCCCAGATTTCTGAGATCTGAAATAACAGTGTACCTGGGGAATCCTCAAGTAAATGTCTCAAATTGGCAGGAACAAGGATTCCTGTCAACTTGGGCGATCTGTGAGAGCACGTAACATGTGGGCAAGTCCCAGAGTGGGCTCAGTTCTCTTTGGCAGGATCGTATCTAGTTGAAAATTCAGCTGCTGGTGGGAATGCCGGCTGGTCCAACCCTTTTGGAAAACAGTATGGACGACTCTCAAAAAATTAGAAATTGAGCTTTCATTTGACCCAGCAATACCACTCCTGGGAATATATCCCAGAGAGGCAAAAAGGTATAGTCGAAGTGACATCTGCAATTGTTTGTTCATTGCAGCACTCTTTACAATAGCCAGAATCTGGAAAAAACCTGAGTGCCCGAGAACAGATGACTGGTTAAAGAAACTTTGGTACATTTACACAATGGAGTACTATGTAGCTCTTAGAAAAGATGAAGTCATGAAATTTACATACAAGTGGTACTACATGGAAAGTATCATGTTAAGCGAAATGACTCAGAAAGAGCGGGATAGACCCAGAAAGATTGCATTCATCTGGGGAACATAAAGCAACAAAAAGGGAGACTAACACCCAGGAATGGCTGAGATAGATTAGTACCAGGAATTTTGCTCCATGATTTGAAGGCCAGCCACACGTGCTAGGTGAAAAGGAAGCTCAGATAGAGAAGAGAGCACCAAATAAAGGATGTTGTGAGGACCCCCCTGGGTGGGAGAAGCATGCTAAAAGTAGTCTATAGACCAAACATGATTGCCACTCAATGCCTCTCTTGCAAAACACAGTACCCAAAAGAAGAGAGAGAGAACAAGGGGGAATACCCTGCCACAGAGGCAGGATGGGACGGGGAGGGGGGGGATGAGGGTTGGGGGGAGGGGTGCTGGGACCCGTGGGGATGGATGACGGGCACTGGTGGAGGGATGGGCACTTGATCATTGTATAACTGAAACCCAAGCACAAAATTTGTAAGCCTATAACTGTACCTCATGGTGTTTCACTAATAAAAAAAGAAAAAAAATCATTGAGAACAAAAAAAAAAAAAGAAAATTAACCTGAAAAATCACCTGGAGACTCTGGTATTATATTTTGTGTTTGTGGGCCCATGATATTTGATCTACAGAACATAGGCTGGTGAATGATGAAAGCCTGGGCGCCCTCTCCCTGGGACTCACCAGGAAACAAAGTCTGGCTAAACCTTACTTGTTTCCTTCCCAGTTTATTTCCTGCCATGTGAAATTACTGACCTAGTTAAAGATAAATATCTGGGGTGCCAAGCCATTGAAAATGATGAACCCCTTGAGCTGTATGTTTAAAATGTATGCTGAAAATATTTTGTTAGCACTCACCTTCGAGCTTCTCTGCTTCTCAGAAGTAGGGATGTCATGCTTTGGTTGTTCTGGATTTGAATTGACTCACGGTTCCTCTTTTACAGTCTCTCTGAAGACAGGGTATGCCGAATCATTAGCATTATTATGATTTCAGTTCCAGCCAGACTACACAGCCACACTTAGCAAAGGGGGATGGGTGGGTTTCATTATTCATTCAGAATAAATTCCTACTCTAATATAAATGTTGCTCAGGATAGAGCTTTGAAATGGATCCTGATTCTTTAAATTCTTTCCTGTCTGTTTCAGGAAATAGTGAGATCCTGTTGATAGTCAAGTACAATGTGTCTAAAGTTCACTTCTAAACACTCTGCTCTTTGCAATGAAAGTCATCTGCATTCTCTTTATAATACAGAGCCGCAAGAGATCTGTCTAATCTTGGAGATCTGATCCAGTATCATTTAGAAAAAAAAAGAAAAAAATCCTTGATAATAATTCTACCATTCAGATTAGTGAAAGCAGTAAAGGCTTACAGTTTCTGTCATCTTCAAAAGATACCATGAGGCTGGGGAATAGGACTTGGGTTATGGTTTGGGAGATTTAGTTGTTTGTAAAAATAAAATGATTAGTACAGTTATTATTCAAGGTTTTAATCAGCAAAGGCAAATGGCATCTGTTTGTTATCATTCTTTCTACAGAAGACAAAGGCTCAGGTCCCAATGGTGCTCACTGCTGGTCCCAAGTGGCTCTTGGATGTGACTTGGCAAGGAGTGGAAGACAACAAAAACAACTGCATTGTGTACAGCAAAGGTAAGTGCAAGCTTCTTTCCCTCTTGCTGTAGAAGTATTGAAATCCGATCGTTGCCCAACAGCGCCAGACCACCTGAAATGGGAATGAGAAGTAAAACGTGATCCCTCCCTTCCTCGTTGTTCCCTTCTGATCTTTCTAACTTGCATTTGCCAAACTCTCAAGGGGTAGTGTTTGGGGTTGTTTAGCATTTTTTGTTTTGTCCCTGTACAGAATAAACAACGAATTATCTCATTAATTACTTAATGCAGCACACAGTTTCCTAAGCCTATATTGGAGTGGTTTGACAGGTACCTCTCTTGCTGTCAGTTTTATTGACAGCTGGGTTTGAGGAAATCCCAAATTTCTGTCTTCGGCGTTATCAATCAAAAGAGAAATGCTTGTGGAAATTCAGCAGTCAGGGTCGATGTGCTGCATGCTCTGCGTTCTCGCCGGTTTTGTGAAATCTCTCATCATGAGAGGAGAGCTGGAAACGAAACCATCTCAAAGCCTAGAAGGTTCTTTCCCATAGCGATGGCAGAGGAGCGGGAGGCAAATGAAACAGGGGAAGCTAGTGACTTAGAAGGATGTTGCCTTTGATTTGCTCAGTGTGATACCAACCTAGGGTGCACCATAAAGCTTTTCCTGGGCTTCAAACAAGGCAGCTGGTCCTGGGAGCAGCTTCGAAACACAGACTGCGCCTCTTGTGAGTGGTGGTTTGGAATTCTTGTCTCGATAGTCCTGTTAGGAGTCTTAGCTCAGTACTTTTACAGTGAAATCCCTAATCTCACGTCTTCGTAAATATTGCAGAAACCCTGTGCTTCTCATGTTTAATTTCTCTGGCTTTCTTTTTTTAACCAAATGGACCTACTGAGATCAAAGATTTATTTGCACATTGAACCTAGAAACCATAAAAGGATAGAAGAAACAAGCAAATAAGGACCCCTATCAATATATTAACATATAAAACACTAATCACCACATCAAAGACTCTTCAAAACTTGCTAGAAACAATTACAACTTGTTCCTGTAATCATTACAATTTGTACACTCATAAGAGGATTGCCTTTAAACTACCATAAGCCTTTGAAAGTTGAAACACAGGAAAGAGGGAATTTACAAGCTAAAAAAACAATCTACACACCAGGATCTGATTATAGCCCTTTTCCTTCTTTAATTGCTGACCTCATACCCATTCATTTCCTAGCCCCAAATACCTATGATATGTTGGTGGGAGTTCTTAGCTATATATTTTCTCAGATATGTCAATATGATCTATCTAAGTTGGGTGAAATAGTATAGTGAACCAGTTTACCAGTATCCACATTCATAATGCAAAAAAATGTGAAAGATGTTTTGGATGTTGAAACAATTACTAGAAACAAATTTCATGCTGCAAAAACTTCTCTTCATCATAGTACTATCAAATGGAGGAACCAAATTATAATTCTACTTCTGTCATAATCCAAATACATTATGTTTTAACATCAGACCTTTTTTTTGAGTTGGGGTTAACACCCACCTGTGTTCAGAACTTACTTCTGGCTCTGTGTTCAGGAAGTATTCTCTGAGCAGGGCTCAGGGGATCATATGGTGCCAGGGATCGAATCCAGGTTAACTGCATGAAATTCAAGTGCCCTACTTGTAGCACTATCTCTCCAACCCAAAATCAAGCATTCTTTTAAAGAAGAGATATGTGTAATTGTTTTAAGAGAAAGACATGGCACATAGAGATAAATTAGCTCACTGAGTGAATGCTTTGCATGTGGGAGGCCTAAATTCAATCCCCAGTACCACATGGTTTCCTCTCATGAGGTACCAAATGGTATCTTCATGGGTTCCTCTCACACTGGGCTAGGTACAAGTACCACATGGTTTTTCCGTGCACTGAGCTAGGAGTATAGTCTCTGGACACTGCAGGGTATAATCCCAAAACCAAAAAGAAAAAAAATTAAAAGAAAGAACAAAATTCTAATGCCATATGTAACAGAGGTCTTTAACTGTATGTGTTTGCGTTTGGTTGACTATGTCTTAAGCCCTTTTAGCAATAAATAATTTGGATTAATTTATAGAACTTTATTAATGTGCTAACTCATAAAGCATGGGTTGAGTTCAACAACATTCAAGCTTTGTACATTGCTAAGAGTGGCAATCATTACTAAGCAGACCATAACTTTTTCCTTGGTCCCACCATATAAAATTGTATGCACTTGCTCTTTATCAGCTTATTTTACAATAGTCATTTTCTGTATTTGTGAAAGATGTACGTAAAAGTCCACTAGTGGTAGCTGCCCTTTCAGCTGCCTCTATAAAAAAATAAGTATTGGCTGACCAGATAAACATTGGAGGAATAGTTGCCAGAAATTATAGTATATACTCAACATATTATAATGATACACCAAAAGAATGTCTGTTATTTAACAATTTTTAGCCACAAAATGTATTTGATGTTATTCAACTTACATGAATAGTTGGTGTTGCAATTTAGATAGCTGGAACAGGCATTATCTACTGAATATGTGTTCTTTAATTCTCATTTAACACCTCTTCTGAGGTAATCAACATACCACTCCATTATACAAAAGCAAAATTAAGGCAGAATTTATCCCCCCATCACAAAGCTAATATGTGGCTAAGGTTGGATTCAAATGTACATCTATCTAGCTTATGATCTGGGCTATGTAAATGAGAATGTTCTCCTTATATTTAATGCCCAGTGAGATATAAAAGATGTTGTTCCCTCATTTTATGAACTTGACATTGACTGAGAGAGGTGCTCTGTGGTCATAGAGAGCTGACAGTGGAGATAAATTTGAATCCAGGTTTTGAGAATTTCAAATCCAATGACTCTTGATACTATTACATAAGAGTGAATCCTCTCAAACAACTCAGATCTTTTATGCCCAGAACTCACAGAGAATGTGCTACTAGAGTGGGAAGTGCCACAGAACCCTGGCATTAAAGAGCCCATAACCAAGTATTTCTCTGTATGTATTCCCTATTGACCATATGCTATATGTGTGAGAGGGTGGTGGGCATGCATATATATGTATTATATATACATACATATATGCGCACACACACAAATACACACACAAACACACATATGTAATTTATTTAGATGCATTCTTTGCAGTAAATCTTGATTAGATTTAGTGTTCCTGATAACACAATCTTGGGAAAGCTACAGTTGACTCTCCATTCTACTCCTAGATGAACTTCTGAAGCTAGAATTTATGTTGCCTTCAGTAGGAAGAGAGCCCTACAGAGTGTGTCCTCAATTTCTGTGAAAATGCTAATATACTAGGATTGTATGAGGAGTTATTGAAATCATGGAAAACATGACCCAAGGAATATTTCTATCCAAATCCTATGGTTCCAAAACATTCAGTCCATGTAGGCTGCTGCTGGGACAAGCCTTTGTAAAGCAAAAGAGTTTTGAAACTACAGGAATTTGGGACTCTGAATTACATGAGTTTTGACTTGATAACTATAATATGTGAAGTATTTTTATTATGAGTCTGTTATTTATTAATTGAAACACCTTTGTTTTCAAGCAATAGAGATCCAAATGAAATAGAATTATGCAAAAAAGGAATACTTTTGAAGTTTTTGAATAATATCCTGAGGTTAAAGAGACCCATATCCTATAACAGAGTCTAGCAATATTCTGGACTTCAGAACAGCTTACTCTAGTTGCCTGAACTTTTGCTGTCCCCTATCAATCTCTCCATAGCTTTATCTCTGTCTCTCTCTGTCTCTCTCTGTCGTCCTCACTCTCTCTCACTTCTTTATAGGGTTCATTCTTGAACTGCCCTCAGGTATTGGGAAACACCACAATTCACGTCTCAGCAATCGAGTGCACAGAGAGACTTTCTAAACTTTGATTAGGCAGAACAGAGACTAATCCCTGCCAATTCATCATTAGGACTCTTCCTGGCAGACCATTACCACCTTCTGGGCCAAACAGTAGACTTAAGTTCACAGGAGTCACTGGGGTAAAGAAGAAATAGTTCCCCAAAGGAAGCAAGACGATTCTTCCATTATTGCAGCAACAACCAAACTGGTTTCTTGATGCCTCACATCCCTGTACCCAGAGGCAAGACATTATTCCTAATGTTGGAAAAATTCTAATCAAGTAAATACATTTCTGCTGCCAAAATTTTATTTCGTTGTCAAGCTCTGACTTAAGAGTGCTTATGAGTTATATTACACAATTGTATGCCACCAAAAGGACTGTATTTTAGAAAGCCCATTGAACCTAGTTACAGATGTAAAATGGGTGTGCCTAACACTTTGTTTTATTTGGGCCCCATACCCACTATCTCTGTGCTTAGGAGTCTCGGGACCATGGATAGAACCTGGGTTCGGCCATATGCAAGGCATATCAAATGCCTTGCATATGGCTATATGTGTGAGGGGGTGGTGGGCATGCATATATATGGATATACATATATATCCAACTGGGAAGTTGATGAGTGTAAATGCTTTTTTTTTCTGGGTGGTGGGCATGCATATATATGCTCTGTGCTTCAGCCCCTGCCTAACACTTCTTTTTAAAGTCTTGACTGTGACATTTCTGTAAAAAGAAATTTATAATACATGCTTAAGTGTGTAAAACAGCCACAATTGGTATATTGCTCCTACCACTTAAAAAATTCTTCTTATTATTAGTAAGTAAAGTAAAAGTAAAGGCCCTCCCGTTGATCGTCGATTTGCTCGAGCGGGCCCAGTAACGTCTCCATTGGAGACTTTGTTGTTACTGTGTCTGGCATATCGAATACTCTCGGTAGCTTGCCAGGCTCTCCAAGAGGGGCGGAGGAATCGAACTCGGGTCGGCCATGTTGGCCGCTTGTAAGGCGAACGCCCTACCCGCTGTGCTATATTACATTTACATTATAAATACAAAAGATAATGTAGAATGATAATATAAAATATTATTAAATGTAGACTGATAATAAAAAGTATCATGTTTTCTTTTCCAAGGTATCCATCAAATAATTATTATAACTTCATAATGCTA